GCAAATCTGTTCTTACACAAATCCACACCAGCTCTCCAGTGAAGGCTGCAGGGGTGTAGCACATCCAGGAGAACTCCTGACCCTCTCACTCCACTGGGGATCAGTGGAGCAGGAGCTGAGACTCCTGAGCTTTGGGAAGGGTGGGAATTGGGAATCAGCTGCTGCTGCCCCCATCTGTGTGCTCTCAGGGAAAAACCAGCCCAGCAGGAAGACACACAGGGGCTGCCTGGAGAGAAAAGCTTATCTGGGCCTCACACCATAACACAGGCACTTCTAAAGAAGAGGAAATGAGATAAAGAAATCACTCAGGGCTGCTGCTGCCTCTGAAAAACTTCCTTGATAAGGGAGGCAAGGCTGGGGCTCACCTGCTCCAGGTGGCGTGGGCAGAAAGCTCAGCCCAGTTAAGACAAAGGCCTTTCCCAGTTTTGCTTCTCAGGACAGAAGTTCCCCTGCCCCTGCTCCCTCCCCAGTTAACAGAAATGCCTTTCCCAGTTTTGCTTCTCAGGACAGAAGTTCCCCTGCCCCTGTGATCTGCTCTTTCCCTGAACTGGGGGTATTTTTGAGGTCCTTCCTTGTGCATGGAGGAGCCTCCTCTCCTGACATTCCCCAGGGATTTGGTGCAAATTCCTGGGAGCTTGGAGGGGATGTTTGGACAGATCCTTTTTGCTGCACCATGGGGGAATCTTTCATTTTTCTAGCAGCACCACCATGAAAATTGGTTTCTGAGCATAAAACATCTCTGCTTCTCAGTGTGCTGGGAGGAGTTTCCCCATGGAAAGGGTGCTCAGGCCTTGGCAGGGGCTGCCCAGGGAGCTTTGCAGTGCCCATCCCTGCAGGTGTCCCCTGGGGGTGGCACTGAGTGCTCTGGGCTGGGGACAAGGTGGCCATGGGGCACAGCTGGCACTGCCTGGGCTGGGAGGGCTGTGCCTGCCCCAGGGATTTGGGGATCTGCAGATAAAAATGGGGGTACAAAATGCCCTCTGAGGTGGTTGGATTCTGTGGAGGAAAATCCAAAGATTCAATAATATTTTTGCTGAAGGATCAAAGGAGATCCACCAGGTCAGATCTTCAATACTTTAAATGCTGGGAGGATGAACCAAGCTCCAGGGATGTGGTGATTCAGGCTGGACACTGGGGGTGGAGCAGCCTGGGCCAGTGGAAGGCATCCCTGCCATGGCAGGGCTGGGACAAAATGATCTTTAAGGTCCTTCCAACCCAACCCATTCTGGGATTCTGTGTGCTCCTGGGATGTCTGTTTGTGCTTGGGATCCAGGGTCTCGCCTTCCTCCCTCGTCCTAGATCCCAGAGGGTTCTGCTCAGCCTGTGGGAGCTGATAACCCAAATAATCTCTCAGGGGATCCCAGAATCCCAGACTGGATTCGGTTGGCAGAGGCCTCCCTCGTCCTAGATCCCAGAGGGTTCTGCTCAGCCTGTGGGAGCTGATAACCCAAATAATCTCTCAGGGGATCCCAGAATCCCAGACTGGATTGGGTTGGCAGGGGCTCTAAATCCCACCCAGTGCCACCCCTGCCATGGCAGGGACACCTTCCCCTGTGCCAGGCTGCTCCAGCCCCAGTGTCCAGCCTGGCCTTGGGCACTGCCAGGGATCCAGGGGCAGCCCCAGCTGCTCTGGGCACCCTGTGCCAGTGGGGATGAGTTTGTGGCTCAGGGAGGAACCTTCCCAGGACCCTTGGGAACAATAAACTCCAGCTTTGGTCAGCACTAATCCAAATTTCCTGTGTCTGGTCATTAAAGCCGTGAGTGGTGATCGGTGGTGCCCCATCTGAATCATCCTCACCAAAATCAACTCTGCAGTCCCTGTGCCTCAGCTGAGGGCTCAGAGCTCCTGTGAAGGACAGGAATTCCATGGAATGGCATTCAGTGGCTCCGGGGGTTTGAAGCCTCTCCATCCAGCCCCTTCCAAAGCTGCAGCTGTCAGCACATCTTTCATTTAACACTGGGTTTTCGGGGTTTTTTTCCACTCTAAACTGCATTTCAGTGGCAGGCTGCAGAGTGCAGCCAGTTTTCCCAGCTGCAGGAAATCCCACAGCTCCCTGAGCTGCATCCCTGAGCTGTGGCCTCGCTGCTGCTGCCAAGGGAAGCTCTGGATCCTGGCACAGATGGTGCAAAGGGGGGAACCAGGTGCTCCAAACCCCTGTTTTTAGGGCTTTGGGGTGGTAATGAATTAATTAATTAATTGTATTAATGCTGGGATAGCAGCAGGTGGATTATGCCCCCCTCTTGGCCATCCTTTGTAGGGTGACTTGGAAAACCTCAATCCAAAATGATCTCTGCAGGGTTTGGGCTGGACTGGAGGTGCCATCCCCAGGGGCTGGCCAAGCCCTTGGGCAGCAGAGCTCTGTGATGGGGGGACAGGCTTGGGGTGGGGGATGGAGCTGCAGAAGGGCCTGGCCACCTCCTGTCCCCTGGGCTTGGCCAAGGGAGCAGAGCTGGGCCCAGCTTGTGGCACTGTGTGGCCACAAACCAAATTATTTCTGAATGAATTCTGAATTATTGAATGAATTCTGAATTATTTCTCCCTCCCTCTTGCTCAGGAGCCCAGAGAACTCTGCCAGGGAGGGTTTGTACAGCTCTGGTCCTTCCCCCTTGTTTTCAGGGGTTACCATGCCACAGAAAAAGACCTGGACAGAAACATGTTAGACCTCATCTATTCCTGTACAAGGGCCACAGCAGCAGCTTTTCAAGGAAAATGGGAATTCCATTGAAAGAATAAAGTGAATTTTAACTTTAAAGTTAAAGTTAAATACACTATAAAGTGTATTTAAACTTTAAAGTGTCTGCTCCCCATTCTTATTTCAGTGTTTCTTTCCTCAAAACAAAAAAAATGAGGCAAATTTAAAACCCAAAGGCTTCCAGGAATGCGGTTTCAAGAGATCTGCAAGCCCCTGTGCTGGGAAATGTCCTTTGTCACCTTCCAGAGAAAACTTCCTGAGGGATCCCATCACTCCACAGGTCGTCATTGACCTGGGGAAAATGAAATCTGTGGCTACTGACAGATCCAGGAGGGCAAAAAGGATTCCTACACCGAGTTGGAGCTTTTAAAAAATATATTAAATAATAATCTCCCAGTCACAGGCGCTCTCAAGTCCCCCCAAAGTCAAACAGAAGTGACAGATCTGCTCTGCTGGAGACACAACCTTGCCTGGGCTGGAGGTGACACTGGAGGGACTGGGAGGGGAGCGGGGCCCACAGACTCTGAGATCCCAGAGAATGAATCCTAAAATGGCATAAAAGGTTTGGAAAGGACCTTAAAGCTCATCCTGTTCCATGGCAGGGACACCTTCCACTGTGCCAGGCTGCTCCAGCCCCAGTGTCCAGCCTGGCCTTGGGCACTGCCAGGGATCCAGGGGCAGCCCCAGCTGCTCTGGGAATTCCATCCCAGCCCCTGCCCACCCTGCCAGGGAGGAAATTGTTCCTCATATCTGATCTAAACCTGTAATTTTTCAGTTGGAAGCCATTCCCTGTGTGCTGTCCCTGCATCCCCTGGAAATTGTCTCTCTCCAGGTTTCCTGGGGCTCCTTCAGGCCCTGCAAGGCCACCCTGAGCTCAGCCCAAAGCTTCTCCTGTGCAGCTGAACAATCCCAGCTGTGCCAGCCTTTCCTGCCAGCAGAGCTGCTCCATCCCTCTGCTCATCCTGGAGCCTCCTCTGGGCTCTCTGCAGCAGCTCCAGCTCCTCCCAGGGCTGGAATTCCCGAGCTGGCCCCAGCAGGGAGCTGGGATGTCACCAGGGCTCAGCAGAGCCCCCCTGTCCCCCTGTGTCCCGTGGGGTGGCAGGGTGACCCCACAGCTGGCTGGGGGACACCAGAGCCCTGCCCTGGGAGAAGGGGACAGGGAATGGCTGCAGTGCCCTCTTTGTGCCCGGCCTGCCCTGACAGCTCCCTGCCCTGGCACGGCCACCTCTGCCACCCCAGACCCTGTGCCACCCCAGACCCTTGCTCCTGTCCCACACCCCCTTCCCAGCATTCAGGGAAGAGGCAGGCTGGCCCGGGAAGTGCCAGGATCTGGTTTTGTCCCAGATTTCCCCCATGAGGAGGAAGCAGGGCCTGACTCTGCTGTCACTGACCCTCAAAACCCTCCTCCTCTTCCTCCTCTTCCTCCTCCTCCTCCTCCCTCATGGATCTCTCCTGGATCCAACACGCTGTGGCCACCCCAGAGGGAGCCTTTGCTGCCCTAACCCCATTTCTGAGCCTTCAGCATTGCTGATTTAACCCATTTATTTCATCAAATGCATTTATCCACAAGTGCACTTTCCCTAATCAGCCCCGGCCCGTCCTCCCACAGCTTTTCCTGGGGATGTTCCCGGGCTGGGTTAAACTCTGGGACACCCTTCAGTCATTTGGGAGATCACACACCCAGGCACGACATTCCTTCACATCCCAGGGTCTTGGTGGCCCTGCTTGGCCTCAAACTGGTGCCACTGGTCTGGGGAAGGGAATCTCCTCCCTGTGACTCCTCCTGAGCCTGGGCCACCCCTTCAGCTTCTCCCTCTTCCTGGTACCCCAGCTCCCGTGCCAGGCTTTAAAACTCACCCAGAAGGGGGAATTCCCTGGGGGCTGTGAAAAGAAGAGGATCAGATCCTGCTCCAGGCTTCCCAGGGGCAGGGGAGAACTGAACTGGGCTGCCCTGGAGAGGGGAAACTGGGCAGGCAGAAAAGAGATTTGGGCCAGCCTGGAAATGAATCCCACAGCCTGCTCCTTCTCTGAGAGGCAGCAGCAGCTCAGGCAAGGGAAGCAGGGGCTGCATCCTCACCCTGAGGAAAAATGGAATAAAGCTCTGGAAAAGTGAGCAGCTGAGATATTTTCATCCGTTTGTTGAATGCCTCCATCACCACCTCAATTCCTTTCCCCAGCTGCTGCCCAGGCAACAGCAGCTAGAAAAGAGTGTCATGCAAGGAGGGGCCATCCCATCCCATTATCCCATCCCATTGTCCCGTCCCATGCCATCCCATTATCCCATCCCATCCCATGCCATGCCATCCCATGCCATCCCATGCCATCCCATTGTCCCATCCCATCCCATCATCCCATAACATCCCAACCCATCCCAACCCATCCCAATCCCACTCCCAATCCCAATCCCAATCTCCATCCCATCCAACCCCATCCCATCAATCCCAGCCCATCCCATCAATCCCATCCCATCTCATCCCACCCTATCCCATCAATCCCATCCCACCCAATCCCAACCCAACCCATCGCATCCCATCCCAATCTGAATATTAAACCAATCCCATCCTATTTTATCCCATCCCATCCCATCCCATCCCAATCCCAATCCCAATCCCAATCCCAATCCCAATCCCATCCCACCCAATCCCTCCCAACCCATCCCATCCCAATCTGAATCTGAATCCCATCCCATTGTATCCCACCCCATCCCAATCCCTTTCCCAAACCCAATCTCCACCCAATCCATCCCATCCCATCCCATCCCATCCCATCCCTGTTTACTGCAGCTGATGAGAGTCTGGGGGCCACTGTCCCTGCCAGAGCCATGGAATGGGATGGATTGGGATGTGCCCTGGCCCAGGAATGCTGAGGGGATTTCACCCCACAGGAGGGATGGGAATGCTGAGGGGATGTTATCCCTTGGGAAGGATGGGAATGCTGAGGAGATGTCACCCCACACCAGCAGCATCCTCCAAAGGAGCTCAAATGCATCTTTCAAGGCTGATAAATTCATTTTGTAGCTTCCAGGTGGGCACTGCTGAGCCCCCTGTGGCTCAGGGATACCCACAGACGCTTCTCCCTCCCATGGGAAGCAGAGGGTGAGATTTGGGGTGGGATTTTGAGGTTTTGGTGCTGGCTGCAGGGAGTCTCCCTTCAGGGAGGTGTTAGAGGGGAGCCCTGCAATGACCTCCCCTTCCTGCTCCCGGCCCAAAATGTGCAATATCCCTGCAGGATGGAGCTCAAGGAGTGCCAGGGGGCCAGGGAATCACTGGGAATGTCCCAACCCCCGGAGCCTTCCTGGAGCAGAGCAGCCTGAGCTCGGAGCTCCCAGGGCTGCAGGACCCAGGGAGGGGCTGGGGCTGGCCCAGGAGGGATTTAGGTTGGATTTTAGGGAAAGGTTCTTCCCCAGAGGCTGCTGGCACTGCCCAGGCTGCCCAGGGAATGGGCACGGCCCCGAGGCTGCCGCTCCATCCCATCCCATCCCATCCCATCCCATCCCATCCCATTGCTCCATCCCATCCCATCCCATCCCATTGCTCCATCCCATCCCATCACTCCATCCCATTCCATCCCATCCCAATCCCAATTTCAATCCAATCCCATCCATCCAAATCCCTACCAACGCATCCCATCCCAATTTGAATCTGAATCCAATCCCACCCAATCCCACCCCATCCCAATCTCCATCCCATCCCCTCCCATTCCATCCCATCTCTCATCCCATAACATCCCAACCCATCCCAACCCATCCCAATCCCACTCCCAATCCCAATCCCAATCTCCATCCCATCCAACCCCATCCCATCAATCCCAGCCCATCCCATCAATCCCATCCCATCTCATCCCACCCTATCCCATCAATCCCATCCCACCCAATCCCAACCCAACCCATCGCATCCCATCCCAATCTGAATATTAAACCAATCCCATCCTATTTTATCCCATCCCATCCCATCCCAATCCCAATCCCATTCCATCTATCCCAATCTCTCCTATCCCATCCCATCCCATCAATCCCTCCCAACCCATCCCATCCCAATCTGAATCTGAATCCCATCCCATCCCACTGTATCCCACCCCATCCCAATCCCCATCCCAATCCAAATCCCCATCCAATCCATCCCATCCCATCCCATCCCATCCCATCCCATCCCATCCCATCCCATCCCATCCCATCCCATCCCATCCCTGTTTACTGCAGCTGATGAGAGTCTGGGGGCCACTGTCCCTGCCAGAGCCATGGAATGGGATGGATTGGGATGTGCCCTGGCCCAGGAATGCTGAGGGGATTTCACCCCACAGGAGGGATGGGAATGCTGAGGGGATGTTATCCCTTGGGAAGGATGGGAATGCTGAGGAGATGTCACCCCACACCAGCAGCATCCTCCAAAGGAGCTCAAATGCATCTTTCAAGGCTGATAAATTCATTTTGTAGCTTCCAGGTGGGCACTGCTGAGCCCCCTGTGGCTCAGGGATACCCACAGACGCTTCTCCCTCCCATGGGAAGCAGAGGGTGAGATTTGGGGTGGGATTTTGAGGTTTTGGTGCTGGCTGCAGGGAGTCTCCCTTCAGGGAGGTGTTAGAGGGGAGCCCTGCAATGACCTCCCCTTCCTGCTCCCGGCCCAAAATGTGCAATATCCCTGCAGGATGGAGCTCAAGGAGTGCCAGGGGGCCAGGGAATCACTGGGAATGTCCCAACCCCCGGAGCCTTCCTGGAGCAGAGCAGCCTGAGCTCGGAGCTCCCAGGGCTGCAGGACCCAGGGAGGGGCTGGGGCTGGCCCAGGAGGGATTTAGGTTGGATTTTAGAGAAAGGCTCTTCCCCAGAGGCTGCTGGCACTGCCCAGGCTGCCCAGGGAATGGGCACGGCCCCGAGGCTGCCGGAGCTCCAGGAGCCTTTGGCCAGCACTGCCAGGGATGCCCAGGCTGGGGTTGGTGGGACTCTGGGCAGGGCAGGGTGGCACTGGGGGATCCCTGGGGGTTTATTCCCACCCAGGAATTCCATGTTTCCCTCTCTCCTGTGCTGCTCTGGCTGCACAACTCCCATGCCAGGAGCTGCGGTGCCCCCTCAGCACCTCCCACCTGGGCACCTGCAGCGGGCACGGCTCTGCTGCCCTCCCTCCCTTCCTCCTTCCCTCCCTCCTCCTCCTCCTCCTCCCAGCCCGGCTTTTCCCCGCTCGCCTCTGCCAGGACGGGACAGTGACAGCCGGGCTGGTGGCCCTGCAGCAGCCGGAGCCAGCTCAGCCCCACGCCCATCCCCAGGGCTGGCATCTCCATCTCCACGAGGGGCTGGAGCCCCGCAGGTGTGTCCGGGCAGCCCGGGATGGGAGCGGGGCTGCTGGAAAAATGGGAATGTCCAGGAGCCCGGGAGCTCAGCAGAGCTGAACCGATGGAGGAGCAGAGCTGCCGGGGTTTGTTCGCCGTTCCAGCCGTGCCGGTGTTTGCTCCCCGGGGCTGGGAGCAGCCCCCAGGCTGCTGCAGCCCGGGATTCGCCGGGATGGGTGGCTTTTAGGGAGTGCTGGAGTTCCCACTTTGGAATAGCGGGATATCTGCATGATGTGTGCAAGGAAACTGAACTGCTGGCTTGTGATCAGAGAAAAGTGGGGTTTGGGGACAGTTCACCGGAGGTCTGGGGACAGTTCACCAGAGGTTTGGGGACAGTTCACTCAGTGCGGGTTTGGGGACAATTCAGTGGAATTTGTGGACAATTCAGTGGGGGTTTGGGGACAATTCAGTAGGGTTTGAGGACATCTCACTGGAGGTCTGGGGACAATTCACTCAGTGGGGATTTGGGGACAGTTCACTGGGGATTTGGGGACAATTCACTCAGTGGGTGTTTGGGGACAATTCAGTGGGATTTGAGGACAACTCAGTGGGGGTTTGGGGATAATTCACACTCAGTAGGGGTTTGGGGACAATTCAGTGGGGGTTTGGGGACAGTTCACTCAGTGGGGGTTTGGGAACAATTCAGTGGGGTTTGAGGACATCTCACTGGAGGTCTGGGGACAATTCACTCAGTGGGGATTTGGGGACAGTTCACTGGGGATTTGGGGACAATTCACTGGAGATCTGGAGACAATTCAGTGGGGTTTGGGGACAATTCACTGGAGATTTGGGGACAATTCACTGGAGATTTGGGGACAATTCAGTGGGGTTTGGGGACAATTCAGTGGGGGTTTGGGGACAATTCACTGGAGATTTGGGGACAATTCACTGGAGATTTGGGGACAATTCAGTGGGGTTTGGGGACAATTCACTGGAGATTTGGGGACAATTCAGTGTCCCCAGTGCACAGGTGCTGCTCTTTGCCCAGGAGCTGCGGTGCTGCTGCCCAGGTGAGCAGGGAAGGACGGGCCTGGGCAGGCAGGAGAGGCTGCAGAGCTGCCGTGCACAGCTGGGGGCTGCGGGAGGCGCTTGCAGAGCCCAGAGCTGCAGATCCCCCCCTGCAGCAGCTCTCCCTCCCGGCCCGGGCAGCAGCAGTGCCCTGGATGCTGCCGGGTTGCAAAATTCCCGGCAGCTGGGGTGAGGAAATGGGGCTCCCTTGTGCAATGGGAACGGTGTCAGAGCTACTCATCCCTGAAGGAATGGCAGGGAAACGAGCCAGGGAGGTCACTGGATCCTTCATGGCACTGCAGAAGCAGCAGGACGTTTGGAAGGCAGGAAATCTGGGAGGTGGGTGATGTGCTGTGCTGGTTTTTTGCTCTGAGAGTAGCAAAGGCTTTATTTCTGTGTCATCAAACCACAGGAAATGGTGATAGAGCTGTGTTTTCTAAAGGTGAGTGTTCCTCTAAAATGCCTGGGTTTCTGGGGCTGGCTGCTGATGCTTTGGCAGCGATAGGAGAGAGGGTTGGAGATGTTTGCTTGGTGGAAATGAAAATAGAGGTGCTCTGATTTGGGAGAGCTGAGAAAACGCTGTTAAAATCTGTCACTTCACATCCAGCTCGGTTTGTGTGATAAAAATCACATTGAAGCCTCAGCAGGGAAGAGAAATAGAGGCAGCCAAGAGTCAGTTTTTATGGAATCCTGGAATGGTTTGGGCTGGGACGGTAATGAGGAATTGTTCCCTGGCAGGGTGGGCAGGGGCTGGGATGGAATTCCCAGAGCAGCTGGGGCTGCCCCTGGATCCCTGGCAGTGCCCAAGGCCAGGCTGGACACTGGGGCTGGAGCAGCCTGGCACAGGGGAAGGTGTCCCTGCCATGGCAGGGGTGGCACTGGCTGGGATTTAAAGTCCTTCCCACCCAAACCATTCCAGGATTCCACAAGAATTCCCCACCCCGTGCTGAAATTCTCAGTGTTTCAGCCTCAGACCCGTGAGTGCTCAGATAAAGAATTCACAGTGAAAATCATCACAAGGACTCATTAATTAACAATTCATTCCCGTGTGTGACCCTCTCCATGCCTGCTGCGTTCCCTTGGCTGTGAATACTCCAGGGAAATGTTCTCCTCCTGAGGGACGTTGGGGACAAGAGCAGAGCCCTGGCTCTGTCCCTCTGTTTCAGCAGCTCCTTGTGCAGCTTTCATTCCACAGCAAGGCACAAACAAACCCAAGGAAGCCTCCAGGTACCTGCTGTTCCTGCAGGATCATTCCCAGCAGCTGCAGGCTGTGCCCAGCTCAGCTCCCTCCCACGCAGAGCTCCTGGAAAACATCCCTGAGCTGCCACCATCCCCTGCCAGAGGTGTCACTCCTGCCCCGGGCTCCTTCTCAGCCTGGATGGATTAGAAATGGTTCTGATGTACTTCCTCCTCAAAACCCCCCAACAACAATGGCTGAGTGTTCTGGAGAAGGATTTGCTGAGCTGCTGCCGTGGATTTAAAGTTGTGGGAAGCCCTGAGAGCCACCCCAGGGGGTGCCAAGGTCACCTTGAGTGACAATGCCCCATTCAGGTGGTCCAGGGACGTTGGTGTCTTCTTTTCCAGACTCTTTTAACTGAGGGGCTGTGGTGGGGCTGTCAGTCATGGATGAGGAAAGGCTGGCACAGCTGGGATTGTTCAGCTGCACAGGAGAAGCTTTGGGCTGAGCTCAGGGTGGCCTTGCAGGGCCTGAAGGAGCCCCAGGAAACCTGGAGAGAGACAATTTCCAGGGAATGGCTTCCAACTGAAAAATTACAGGTTTGGATCAGATATTAGGAACAATTTCCTCCCTGGCAGGGTGGGCAGGGTCTGGGATGGGATTCCCAGAGCAGCTGGGGCTGCCCCTGGATCCCTGGCAGTGCCCAAGGCCAGGCTGGACACTGGGGCTGGAGCAGCCTGGCACAGGGGAAGGTGTCCCTGCCATGGCAGGGGTGGCACTGGGTGGGCTTTGAGGTCCCTCTCAACCCCAAAATGATTTCATGATTTGATGTTGCCTGGCTGCTGAGGATTTGGGAATGCAGTGCTGACAGGGTTCCTCTCATTAAGTGATTTACAGATGGATTGGAAAGGGAAAAGGACCCTTCAGCCTCCTGTGTGAGACTGGCAGAGCAGAGGCTGTGCCTGCGAGGCTTTGGCCTTCCAGGAGCTTCTGGGTGTCCCCATCTCCTGCTCCTGGAGCTCTGGCAGCCTCGGGGCCGTGCCCATTCCCTGGGCAGCCTGGGCAGTGCCAGCAGCCTCTGGGGAAGAACCTTTCCCTAAAATCCAACTTAAATCCCTCCTGGCCCAGCTCCAGCCCCTCCCTGGGTGCTGCCCCTGTCCCAGAGCAGAGATCAGAGCTGTCCCTCTGGCTGGGACACTGCTCCTGCCTGGGGGGCTCAGGGAGGGAGTCCTGAACTCCAAACAGCAGCAGGGAGCTCGGGGTGAGATCTGTGCCAGCTCCACATCACACAGACCAGCTGTGCAGCACCAGGGGGTTTTGGAGCTGTTGCTGGGGGTGGACTCAGCCCTGGCTGGGTTACAGGTGAGAGATGAGAGGGGTTCTTCACATTGAACTGATGCCTTGTGCAGGCTGACCCCATCTCTGGGTCAGAAAAGAGCTTAATCAGACATTTACCTGATGCCACCCCCTGATTTTTATCCTTTTCCAGCCACAGGAAGGAAGAAGCGCCAAGGACAGAAAATCCAGATGTTGGTGCTGTCGAACACCACGGCCCTGAACCTGCTCCTCTCCAAACTGCTCCAGGAGTGCCCGGAACAGACCAACAGCTCAGCTCCTTCCCAGGAGAGCAGCGCCAGCGACAGCCTGGCCATCATCTACGTGCTGCTCATGCTGGGGCTCTTTGGGTTCTTCACCGTGGGGGTGATGGTGACCAACCTGCGGGCGCGGCGCCTCGAGGGGCCCCGCGACCCCTACAACACCTACATCGCCACCGACGCCTGGCACAAGAAGGACAGGGAGTACCTCCAGGCCAAGCTCATCGAGAGTTACAAGCTCTGCTGTGTCCTGGAGAACCAGCTGGCCGTGGAGCAGCCGGGCATGAAGATCCCTGAGGAGAAATCTTCCTAGGGAGAAGCGGGGGTGGGGGAGGATGGTGCGCGGCACGGGGACGGTGTGAGCAGTGCCTGCTGTGGGCCAGGGGAGCTGCTGGCTCTTCTGCAGAGCCACAGGGCCTGGCCAGGCTGGAGGAGCAGTGCTGGTGAAGCTGATGGATCTGGGAGATGCCAGTGCTGCCCCAGTGCCCGGCACCGGCATCGTGTGGGAATCGCCGTGAGGGAACGTCGGGATTCACGCGGAACGCGGCGGACTCATCAGCTTCACCTCCTGACCCAGGCCTCAGGCTGGGGGGGATTTTGGGGATAAATCTGCCCTGGCAGGGTGGGCAGGCCCTTTCCTGCTTGTTTTTCTCTCTTCAATTCTCCCTTGTTTACACATTTTAGTCCTGGAGCTTGTACCAGTTGTCCTTGGTCAAGCTGGAAAAGGATTGCTCTGTCTCCCTGCCCTGTGAAGAGAACTTGCTAACACCCAATATGAAGCTCAGAGCTACACACTAAAGCAGTACAGAATCTGAAAAATAGAAAAGCTGAAACTCAAGGCATCACACCCAGGCTCCCAGAGGTAAATCCCTCACTGAGGAGGGGAAGCAGGAAAGGGAGACAGAGGAAATCCCATCTTCATCTGTGAGATCCATCAAAGAAGTTTTTCCATTCAAGAGAGAGGGGGAAAAGTGGGGAATGAATTTGTAGGGAATTCTCCAAGCCTGACAGAAGGCTTACACAGTGTGCACCTGTGTGCAAACCTTGAGACAAGAAATGCTGACTTAGAAATGCCATGGGATAGGACAGACATTCTGGCTCTCTACAAAGGCAAATCTTAGCGTTGCTGGTGTGAAATTAGAGCCTAATTAGGACTCATTAGAACCAAATACAGGGCAGAGGTGTTAATTGCCAAGCATGGCTTAGACAATCGTATTCCAGAATGACCAAATTCTCCCAGGAAATAGAAGCTGAAAGATTTTATTTGAATTTTTGTCCAGCTTAGAATAATGATTTTATAAATAGTGCAGTGCTGTGCTAACCTGTTTCCTTCAGAATCATGCACCTCTTAGTGATAAAATATTAGGAAAAGATTCCCATTTTTTTGTCTGAAAAATATTTCCGTGGAAGAATGCAGACTTTGAAGGGAAACTTTAGTGACTGGGATGGGTGTGGCACTTGGGGACATGGTTAGTGCTGGGTTAGGGGCTGGACTCAAAGATCTTGGAGGGCTTTTCCAACATCAATTCTGATTCCTAGCAGGTCTCCCTGGGGGCCAGTCAATTTAATTTCCTTCCCATGGATGGGGTCTGATCCTGGCAACAAAATCCATGTGCAAAGACTGGGTGTGTGCCATGGATGTGGGGAACATTCCCAAATTTCAATCCCAATTAATTATTGCACGAGCCCCGAGTGCCAGCCCCTGGCTGGGAAGGGAATTTCCACTGTGGGAAGAGCAATTCCATCATTTCTGCTGTAGAATCACCCAGAGGTGCTGTCTGTGCTTAGCTCAGGTTCCGTGAGCAGCTCCCAGGCGTCCATCCAAGGATCCAACACAAAATCCAGGAAGGTTTTCCTGCCCTTCCCTCCTTTTCCCTCCTCCACCTGCCTGTGAAAGGAGAAATCCATCTCCCCTGGACATTGTGTTCCCTAAAAGAACAGCTTTGCCAGCTTGGAGCTGGTTTAGGGAGAAGGAAGCAACACTCTGGGCAGGAGTGGGGATTTTATTTCTGCCCTGCAGACACAAATCCCATTTTTAGCTGCTGGAGAGGGAAGAGACTGGGGGAGGCTGGGGAGAGGAGCAGAGCAGCTGCTTCCAAGGCAAGGTGAGGGCAGAGAGCTTGGAGAGGGAAGCAATCCCAGCAGAGCCCTTTTCCAGGCACTTCTTTAGCACTGCACTTCCATCTGAGCAATATTCCAGCCGTGTCTGCGTTCCCAGAGCACTCAGGACACTCAAAACACAGGGCTGGTTTTTTAAAATTATATTTATATAGTGCCTTCCATTAAGCTGAGGACAAGATCCATATTTTTGGTGTCTGGAGCAGCTTGGGAAATCTCCAGCAACTTAATTATCCCAGTCACTTTTTCCTCTGGGGGAATGAAAACCCAAGCCCAGCTCTGAAAAAATGTTGATTTCTCAGCTTGGGCGCTGCTCTTTTGGGATCTCACTGTTTAGGACTTGCCCTGGGAGAGGATTTGCAGAAACAGGCCCCTGGACTTGGCTTAAACTTGCACCAAAAATTGCTTTTAATGACATTAAACCCTTTAATTTAACAGTTAAAAGATTTAATGGCATTAAACCCTGGGAGTGAAGCTCATCCCCAGGGCTCCCTCCTCAGCTCTCTCTCCACCCCAGGTATTTTCAGGGATTTTGGGTCATTTTATTTTCATAGCTCCATCGGGGTTATTTGTGAGTAGGATGATGCTCAGCATTAATTGCACCCCATTTTTTTTTTTCCTATTAGCAGCTCTGCCTTTTTTTTTAAACTGAAATTTTAAAAAAGAGAGGAGCTTTGCTGTGCCACCCTCACCCCTGGGTGAGTGCCTGTGGTGGCTTCCCACTTTTCAGTCTTGGAGTTCTCTTCCACCCCCCTGTTTTTTTTTTCACTTATACAGAGCAATAAAATCTGAATTTCAAGCACTGCTCGTGGCCTCAGATGTTGTTTTTTCCTGCCAACCTGTTCCGCAGGCTCGGGGCAGGGGGCAGATCCTCCCCAGGGGCACCCACTCACCCGTCCCCTCTCTCCACCCGATTAACCAGGGCCGGGCCCTGCCGGGATCTCTCCCAGAGCTGCACAAATATCGAAATGTCAGCGCTGAATTCCTCACCTGGAGCTGACTGCCGGGCTTTGCAGCCCCCAGGGCCGGCTGGGCACGGCTCCCTGCCCAGGGCAGCCAGGGCTCGGGGGCACCTGCAGCTCCAGGGAATGACGGCGGGCCTGGAAAAAGCCATGGGAGTGTGGGGGTGAGTCCAGAGGGAGCCATGGAGGTGTTCTGAGGGCTCTGGGAGAGCTGGGGGTGCTCACATGGAGAGGAGAGGATCCAGGGAGAGCTCAGAGCCCCTGAGGGAGACCTCAGCCCTGAGGGGGCTCCAGGAGAGCTGCAGAGGGACTGGGGACAAGGGATGGAGGGACAGCACAGGGAATGGCTTCAGAGTAGGATTTGATGGGATCTTGGGAACGAGGAATTGCTCCCTGGCAGGGTGGGCAGGGGCTGGGATGGAATTCCCAGAGCAGCTGGGGCTGCCCCTGGATCCCTGGGCCATCCCAGTCTCCAACCCAATCCTTCTGTCAGTTTAAATGTGTCCCTGCCTGCCCACATTAAATCCACCCTCAGAGAGCCGTGAGCGTGGCCCAGGCTCGGCCAAGGTGCCAATTCCAGCTGGAAGGAAAGGTGAGGGCAGCACTGAGGGAAACCCATCCCAGGAATGAATCCAGGAGTTCATCTGCAGGCAGGGAAGAGAATCTGTGCTGCTCCGAGGCAGCTCTGACCTGCTGAGGGCTCAGCCTTTCCCCTCCCCATCCTGGAGAACTCCAAGCTCTTATTTCCCTCCTCATGGAGAACTTGCACCTGCAGCAGGTGGGGTTTTATTTTACCAGCAGAAAATATTATTATTTATTTTACTTCAGCGCTGCAGGGATGGGAGATGAAACCCCTGGGATTGAAGAGTCCAGCTGGAAAATCCTTCCCAGCCAAAGGCTCTGTGAGGCTGGAATGAGTTGCCCTGTGCCATTTGGAATTATCAGGACTATCTTGATTTGCAGCTGGCTGGGTCAGACCTGCTAAACCTGGAAACTTGTTCAGAGACAAGCAGGAGGAAACTGATAAAAATAGAAGATAGGAGCAATCAGAAGCCGGCAGAACATTCTTTACAGCTGATAACTGCTCTTATCTCGTGTAATATTTCTCTGGCATCCTGTTTCAGTTTTACACGTTGTTATCACTGCCCCAAACTCGGTCCCCGGTGTCCTGATCCAGCTGGAGCCCTCAGCTGGGCATGTGGAAGCTCCAGGAAGCTTTTCTCAAGGAATGGCTGCAGGGAGCAGCACAAACCCGGCTCGAGAGCTGCGGGAGCCAGCGGGAATGCGGCAGGAGCCATCCGGAGGGACCTGCACCAGCAGCTCCAGAAGGGCCCCTGGGAATCTGCTGAGCTCCAACAAGGCCAGGGGCTGCACTTGGGACAATCCCGGGATCGGCCCCTTCAGAGTAGGATTTGATGGGATCTTGGGAACGAGGAATTGCTCCCTGGCAGGGTGGGCAGGGGCTGGGATGGAATTCCCAGAGCAGCTGGGGCTGCCCCTGGATCCCTGGGCCATCCCAGTCTCCAACCCAATCCTTCTGTCAGTTTAAATGTGTCCCTGCCTGCCCACATTAAATCCACCCTCAGAGAGCCGTGAGCGTGGCCCAGGCTCGGCCAAGGTGCCAATTCCAGCTGGAAGGAAAGGTGAGGGCAGCACTGAGGGAAACCCATCCCAGGAATGAATCCAGGAGTTCATCTGCAGGCAGGGAAGAGAATCTGTGCTGCTCCGAGGCAGCTCTGACCTGCTGAGGGCTCAGCCTTTCCCTTCTCCATCCTGGAGAACTCCAAGCTCTTATTTCCCTCCTCATGGAGAACTTGCACCTGCAGCAGGTGGGGTTTTATTTTACCAGCAGAAAATATTATTATTTATTTTACTTCAGCGCTGCAGGGATGGGAGATGAAACCCCTGGGATTGAAGAGTCCAGCTGGAAAATCCTTCCCAGCCAAAGGCTCTGTGAGGCTGGAATGAGTTGCCCTGTGCCATTTGGAATTATCAGGACTATCTTGATTTGCAGCTGGCTGGGTCAGACCTGCTAAACCTGGAAACTTGTTCAGAGACAAGCAGGAGGAAACTGATAAAAATAGAAGATAGGAGCAATCAGAAGCCGGCAGAACATTCTTTACAGCTGATAACTGCTCTTATCTCGTGTAATATTTCTCTGGCATCCTGTTTCAGTTTTACACGTTGTTATCACTGCCCCAAACTCGGTCCCCGGTGTCCTGATCCAGCTGGAGCCCTCAGCTGGGCATGTGGAAGCTCCAGGGAGCTTTTCTCAAGGAATGGCTGCAGGGAGCAGCACAAACCCGGCTCGAGAGCTGCGGGAGCCAGCGGGAATGCGGCAGGAGCCATCCGGAGGGACCTGCACCAGCAGCTCCAGAAGGGCCCCTGGGAATCTGCTGAGCTCCAACAAGGCCAGGGGCTGCACTTGGGACAATCCCGGGATCGGCCCAGGCTGGGATGAGCAGATGGAGCAGCCCTGGGAGAGCTGGAGCTGCCCCAGGGGGATCAGGGATTGATCCCAAGCTGTTCTCCAGGGATTGCT